TGTAGATCTCAGATTTAGGTTTACTTTATATGGATGGAAATGTAAGACATAGGCCTACAACTTTCATATAGAGCCCAAGATCTAAAAATGTCATTTTCAAGTTCAAATTGGAGTAACAACAAAGAAGTCCGAATGTGTCCTCCAGCCCGAGCACTGTTCAGTATTTTGGCCATATCTGGAGTTTTAAAAGTCGAAATAATCTAAAGGTTTTACATAAGAAAGCTGAGACAATTTCTTACAATTTCATGTTTTCAAGTGGTTTCAATTTTGATGTTATCAATGATGTTTTGGGCAGACAAAAGAAGATAAAGACTGTCACCAAGTCAAGAGCTGACCACCTACTCATGAATTAGTTATCAAATCAATAGTTCTTAATTTTGGCCTATAAAAGGAGGCATTTGCCATGCATTTAGCCATCTTGGTTTTCAGATAAAGATCATGCTCTTGCTTTCTCTCTTGTATTTTTTTGTATTCCTTATGCTTTGCTTTCATTAATATCAAGTTTATGCCTTTCATTTCCTTTCCTTTACTTAGTTAAATTTTATCTTATTTATGTTCTTATTTTGTTTATCTGTTTTTCTTTCTTTCATTATGTTTAGCTAAGTTTATTATGTCAAGGTGAAAAGGTTACACTAATGATGTAAGAATAAGTGTAGTGTAAACTTAATATGAACTTTAATGTTTGATACCAACATGTTTTATATTTGTTATCTTGTTCACTCTTTAATACTTTGCTTGTTAAATAACTAATCTTGATTTATGTTGTATAACAATTGGTACAACAAATGCTTGGCACTTTCATAGTCCATACTGTATGGTATAACCGACACCTGAGCTATGAAAGGAACTTGATTTGTTGTTAACATAAGATATAATCATGAATGCTTGACGAAATTTACAAGTATTAACATTAATTGAATAAGATGACTAATGTAATCATGTTAACAATATATAATGTGATTGGAACCTCCTTTGTGTGTGGTTTCCAATTCAATAATAAGAGTTTATACTACACTTGTTTGACATACCATTAGTGGAACCTCTAACCTTGACATTTGTTCTTATTATTGTTTAATCCTTACATTAATATTTCATCTCAAAGTTCTCATCAATTTTTCTTCTTCTTCTTCTTCTTCTCCTCTTTCTTTATTATTGTTATTATTATTATTATTATTATTATTACTATTACTACTACTACTAGCTAATAATACTACTACTAGTAGTAGTATTATTATTGCTACTATTATTATTGTTGTTGTTATTGTTATTATTGTTGTTGTTTATAATTTATACAATTAACCTCCCTATGATTCGACCCCGGTCTTGCCGGGTTATTTATTACTTTGACACTCCTGCACTTAGAAGAAGACAATAATCTTTTAGTCGTGTCAACTATCTTATTTAATGAGAGTTTATCTTATTTACTAATCATGATTTCTTAAAACATATACATTCTCATCAAAAGTTAAACTTAAAGCATGCTCAATGAATTAGCTACCTTTAACAATTTAGTTTTATTATCAAGTACAAGTACAAGAATGACCAATTTTTTCAGTAGAAGACCTCATACAGTAGCAATTTTTTCAACCAAATCGTCAAATTATGCTTACACATCCATCAAAGGCTGCTATCAAACTGATCCAGATTTCACGAAAATATGGCATTCTTCATAACAACCCTATCATTCCTATCACAGATTATATAATTGATGAAGGATACTTGACAAAGAATGGATGTTACTGTATTCCACAAGGATCCTTACAAGAGTTTATCATTGAAGAGTTGCATGAGGAAGGGATTGCAGGATATTTTGGCCAACATAAGACTTATTCTTTGGTGGCAGATCGGTTTCATTGGCCAGGTATGAAGAAATATGTTAATAAAATTGTTAATAGGTATAGAGTCTGTCAATTGAACAAGGGCAGCAAAACAAATGCTGGTCTTCACACCCCTTTACGCATCCCACACCATCCATGGGTTGACTTAAGTATGGATTTCCTTTAAGGTCTTCCAAAAACTAAGTATGGGAAATGATTCTGTCATGGTCATTGTAGATAGGTTTTAAAAAATAATACATTTTATTCCCTACAAAAAGACTTTCGATGTTTCTAATGTAGCTTCCATATTTCCAAAAGAAATCATTAGATTACATGGCCCACCTCTTTCTATAGTGTCTGATGGAGATGCATGTCAAGTTTGTCAGCTATTTTTGGAAGATTCTATGAGCCAAACTAGGAACAAAACTCGTTTTTTTTAGTGCCTTTCACCTACGAACTGTTGGATAGACAGAAGTTATCAATAAAAGTCTAGCTAACCTACTTAGATAACTCACCAATGAACATGGAGTTAGCTGGGATTTAATTCTACCTCATATAGAGTTTGCATACAACAACTCTGTCAACAGAACCACGTGATGCACACCTTTTAAATTTGTCCATGGTTTACAACCTAGAACACCTATCGATGTTATCCCTTTACCATTACCCCAAAAACTCAGTGAATCAGGGGTAGATTTTGCAGCATTCATGACTTCTCTGCATGATAATATAAGGAGTAAAATGGCAGAACAAACTACCAAGTATGCTGCTCACGCAAATTTGCACAAACGAGATTTTCAATTTAAGAAAGGAGATCTTGTATTAACTCGGTTGCATCCAGAAATGTTTCTCCCTGGCACTCGCCACAAACTTCATGCAAGAATGGGTGCATGGTCCATTCAAGGTTCTTAAGCAAATTGGTACTAATGCCTATTTAATTATTCTACCACCGAAGTTCCAGTTCAGTCTTGTCTTCAATGTAACTGACCTTACATCATATCATGGTCCTTTCCCTTCAGTTGAATCTACTGCTCCAGCAAACGTCCTTCATATTCAACGTATTACTGAAGTTGCAGATTCCATATTGACACATCAATTTGTGTCCATGCACAGAGAAGGCTATCATAAATTTTCAGTGATGTGAGCATCTAAGCTTTAATCTGAAGCTGTTTGAATTAAGGAGGATGAACTCCAACGTCTCAATCCTCATTTACATCAAATTTACCTTCAACAAGTTCCTTGGGAAGTAGGGAAGTTGATGCAATTTCAATATTACCAGGCAATAGAGACATCATGCAGCAGATAAGTGTCATTGGTTCTGGTTGAACTAAGTTAAGTTCTGATGGATTAAAACACTCAATGCAAGCCACCTTTCCAACGTTACACGTTGACAACAGAGAAGAATTATAGGTTGAAGTTTATCTTGTAGTTACATGTGATAATAGAATTAAGTTTACTAATTACCATTGTCCTTATCTAATGTATTGTTTATCTTATCAGAAAACTACCATTTAGGAGACTAGATGTATGACAGAATAGGATTGTAATAGGCAGTGTGTGTTTATGAAATTGTAGTTCTTGTTTGGTATGATGTTAATATGGAAGTGATTTTTTTTGAATGGTGTATTAGGCTACTCATTTCCTATTCATTAAAATTCATGTTTTCTGCAATGAAGCTATTAGAATTCTCTCTCCATCAATACTTTTATGTAGTTTGTTATACTGTGTTCCTTGGTTTACAAAACTTGTTTCCTTCCCTGATATCGATTGGCATGAAGGCCAGTATGAGCCTCCAAAACAAAAATATTAGCGCAAGGTTATAACCCATCTATATGTTATTTCGTTAGGATAATAGGGGTCACTGACCACCGGTTAAAGGTGAACTTCGAGTTCGCATCTTTTCTTGATGGCATTTATTCTCGCAGTATTTTTCTTTTCTCTGTTTCCTTTAAATGTGGTTCAATAATTAAATAGTTTACGGTTCTAAATGTAAGAAGAATATGACACTAAATCCCGGGCCTTTGAAGTGTTTGCTTCTTGCAGGTTAATTTGTTCAGCTATGGAGCAGAAGGAGCACCAGGAGGAACTTGCGGAATCTTTAGGTGCACCGGCTGGCTGATTTGCTGCATTTTGTATTGTGAAACTTGATCTGTAAGTAGTGGAAACCCTCGAGAAGAAATGATATTGAGCATTTATATATATGGAGGATCAAATTTATGTGTACCGACATTCAAAAACATGGTTTTTGTCTTCATACCGAGCAAATTCAGAACGTGAACTTTGGTCTGGTTTACACGTTCCTCAGACCATTATTTAAATTTGTTAAATATGTAACTAATGTTTCATTTTAATCAAAGGAAATTATGTTGTTCGATTCGTCCAACATTCCATGCTTGTGGAAGTAGTGGTAGTAGTCTGAAATCTTAAATCATGTTCTCGTCATATATAAATGACTATATATGACTCTCTCCAACTTTGTCCGCCACAAGCAAGACATCAGCCTCAGTGCATAATCCTGATTGTTTAGTTCCTCTGAACAAGGTGATTTCTCAGATGCCATTTTTTGACTCCACGTTAGAGGTGATTGTATTTATTTTATGTTTATTTTTGTATTTTAAAAGTAATTTTATAAAAATAAAATTTTTTATTTTTTACTTTAAATTAATTTTTTTATATTTTTAAATCATTTTAATACTTTATATTAAAAATAATTTTTTAAAATAAAAAATACTATTTTAATATATTTTTAAATAAAAAATAATTTAAAAAATAATACCGTGTTTAACTTGTAAAATGACTGCTGCTGCAGTTTGGCTATTACTGAAGGGACCAGAAGCGATAAAGTGAGTGCTATCTGGGAGCTTCTGCCTGATCCCAAGGAGAAAAGAAAGGCGGCCACATGTGAGATTGTACAGGACTCCAAGCGTCAATCAAAAAAGGGGGAGGAGCTCCACTTGTCAAACGCAGAACAGAACATTGGGGAGTTTAGTTATTAATGTTTTTTAAAGTATTTTTTTATTTAAAATATATTAAAATAATAGTCTTGTTAATAAGCGTCAATCAAAAGCGATTGTTTTTTATTTAAAATATATTAAAATAATACTTTTATATTTTTTAAATTTATTTTTTTACAACATCATATTAAAACAATTTATAAAAAATAAAAAAAAATAATTTAAAGCCAAACAGTATCACCACCGGGGCCGAACCAAGCCTTCTTTCTTGTTAATGCCAACAAGAAATTCTCTTCGTTTACACCTTCTTCTTCTTCTTCTTCTATGCTTAAACTACTTCGACTCTCTTCTTCTCTTCTAGCCCGTCACTCTCTTAGCACAACAAGTAATTTATCTTCCTCGTTAAGAAGAGCAACAAAGTACCGCAACCGTCCTTGTTGCTCGGCCTTTGTTGGTCGTTTTCACACGCACAAGGTGTTGGCCATGGCTGAAACTACGCCTTCATCTTCGTCTTCTCACAAGCATTCTAATCGTCTCTCAGATGAGCACAGTCCATATCTCCTTCAACACGCCCATAACCCTGTTAGTATATAAAAGAGATATTTGTATTGATTTTTGCTCATTTCTTAATTGTCTTTTTCCTTGTCGAAATGAATTAAAGGTCAATTGGTACTCATGGGGCGAAGAAGCATTCGCTGAAGCACGTAGACGAGACGTCCCAATTTTCTTATCAAGTATTTATTATATTTGCCATTCGTTCTTTCGTTTGTTGTTATTATTTCTATTATTATCATCATGATTTGCAAAAGCTGGGGGCTAATTACTACTTAGTATGTAATCAATTTTTTTGGGTTATTTGGTCATGACTCTTTTTTTTTTTTTTTTGTGCTTTCTATTTGAAGTTGGATACAGCACTTGTCATTGGTGAGTCTGTGACGTTTTTCTTTCATTTTCTAGTCCAAAATGCCTATCGAAAACTCAAATGACTAACTGATTAATTGTTTGGTGTTTATCTTTTGATGGGTGTAAGGTGTCATGTTATGAAGGTGGAGTCTTTTGAGGATGAAGAGGTCGCTGAATTGTTGAATGACTCGTTTGTCAGTGTGAAGGTCTGTTCAAATCTTGATTGCTTGCATTAGTTGTTGTTGGCACTATTCATTTGTCCCTGAATTATCAACTTCTTTTAATGGTCATGTTAATCACGCTAACATGTCAGATTGCCGCAGGTGGATAGAGAGGAACGACCTGATGTTGACAAGGTAAATAGCCTCTATCTTGACTGCCTTCCAGAGAAATAATTCTTGGCTTTATCCTTCGGTGGGTCTATTGTATGCCTGATTAATCTATGATAAAAGAGGTTCTCAAGAACCATGTGATACAATGTGCTGTTGAATTGCTGCTAAACTAGTTGTATGAAAAGTTAAAATGCCAATCCTACCATACTATTATATGAAAGGTGACTGTAAAGTGTAAAAGAGTGTGTTTGTCTATTTATATTATTTTAGTTTCAGAGCACACTTGCATTTGAATCCGGTTGGGTTTTTGCTCATATGCAAATAAATTTCAATGTTCTTCATAGATTGTTCGTTGTTTTCTTTATATACTAAGCAAATAGTTTTGATTTTACAGGTCTATATGACATTTGTACAGGCATTGTATGGTGGAGGAGGGTGGCCACTCAGTGTCTTCATTTCACCTGATCTGAAACCTTTGATGGGTGGAACTTACTTCCCCCCAGATGATAAGTATGGAAGACCAGGATTTAAGACCATACTTAGGTGGGAGTTTTGGTTCTTGGACTTTTTTCCTTTCCGCTTTTCTGCAGCATGGCTGTTCCTTGACCAATTATGAACACATTAGATCGTCACAAGTTTATTCTTGCATTGAATTATGATTCAAAGTAGTATTAAAGGTTAATTGCTTTTGCTTAGTCTATTATTTCTCTATTATTTCAGAAAGGTAACGGATGCTTGGTTCAGTCAGAGGGATACGCTTGTGAAGAGTGGAGCCTTTGCTATTGAACAGCTGTCAGAAGCATTGTCAGCAAGTGCAAGTTCAAAGAAATTGCCAGATGAACTTTCACAAAATGCATTGCATCTGTGTGCAGAACAAGTATGACTATTGCAAACTGCACAGTAGTCCTTTTTTTTCTGACTTGGAAGGAAGAAATGCTCAAATATGAACTTCTGACTGAGCAACTGTGAGGAATGAGTTTGGTGTCTCTGACTCATTTTAATGCATTGCTAGAACCTTCTGAATTTCACTATTTTGGTTGTTTACTTGACTAAAATTTGATGCATAAAAAGATATTAAAGAGTAAGATACCCTATTTGGCAGTGAGGCCGGGAATGTATCTCCCCGTTGCACTTCTTCTGCCTGCTTGGTGTTTCTGTAACGTGGCAAGGAACATGGATTAGCTTTTCATAGAATATTAATTTGATGCTTCTTGGTGTCTTAGTAATTTTTTTTTCAACTGTTATCGCAAAGTCACTATCTTAGACTTTTCAAGATTGTATCAATATCCACATTTTATTTACTGAATAACCTTTCTGTCAATCTAACACAGAGACTATTATCATGGATATAAATGGAGCTTTCTTGCATCAAGTGTTGTCTTGCAGCAACTCTTTTTTTCCCTCCCTCATAGCAACATTAAAAGCAGACATCGGAACTTTTATATGTATACCAACATCACACCCTTTTAGCACTTTTCAGTTGCCATTTTCATGGGTTTGTGTGTTGATTTGGTTTTATAGATGCTAAAAAAACATATTTCTGCTGTACTTTGCTGCTGCCGCTTGCTTTCACAAATTATGATCAGTTAAGAGGACTCAGGGAATGCATAGGACCATGGCATTGTTTTACATAAAACTCTTGATGAGGCACCATTTTAGTGCCTTTTTTTAATTCTCTTACTGCACTACATTGCAGCTTTCTCAAAGCTATGATTCACAATATGGAGGGTTTGGATCTGCTCCAAAGTTTCCTAGACCGGTTGAGATCCAATTGATGCTTTACCATGCAAAAAAATTGGATGATGCTGGAAATTACAGTGAATCAAAGAAAGGTCTGCAGATGGTTTTCTTTACCTTGCAATGCATGGCAAGGGGAGGCATTCATGATCATATTGGAGGTGGTTTCCACAGATATAGTGTGGATGAATGCTGGCATGGTTGGTTTGTCTTTAAAACGATAGTTATTTCCTAAAGAATTGCTTAATTCAAAATTACTGGCATTCTGTTGTGGTTTTCTGCATTTTAGGTTGTTATTGTATATGGAATGTTGAAACTATAGTATTTTCTTGCAGTTCCTCATTTTGAGAAAATGTTGTATGATCAAGGCCAACTTGTTAATGTTTACTTGGATGCCTTTTCCATTACCAATGATGTCTTCTATTCAAGTCTATCCCGTGATATTCTTGATTATTTGAGGAGAGACATGATTGGACCAGAAGGTGAAATATTTTCAGCAGAGGATGCTGATAGTGCTGAGCGTGAAGGTGCCAATAAGAAAAAGGAAGGAGCCTTTTACATATGGACCAGTCAAGAGGTTTCTTATCATCATCATTTTGGTCTTCATTTCATTTGGATCGGTTTGATTTCTCATCATGTAAAATCTAGCAACACATCTGTTAATTTCCTGATTTGTTAACTGCATCTGGAACTTTTGTCAACTGCATCTGGAACTTATATCAACTGCATCTTGATAGTTCTAAATTGATGATGCTGACATTTGGAACTTGTATCAACTGCATCTTGATAGTTCTTTTTTTTTAAAAAAAAAAATGAATACTATATAACTGAAGTCGTAATTCCTCTTCTTGGATTGAGATACTATTAGCCTTGGTCATATCTGCGTCTTCCTGCTTAAAGATCAAGGTAGTATAGCTTTGTCCTAAATTTCATAGCATGAGCAGTGGATTTCTATTGTGAGTTACCCTGATTCTGTAACACTTATCTTTCATTGAAAGATGAAATTATATATAGTTTTATCCTTTCTCTATGAAGTTTTCTTAAAAATTTATGTTGGGAGATTCATTTAACTTGCATTTACCTCTACTAATTCTGATTTTTCTACATGTTTTCCCCCTCTTTAAGATTGATGACATCCTTGGAGAGCATGCAACTCTTTTTAAGGACCACTATTATGTAAAGCCTCTGGGGAACTGTGACCTTTCTAGAATGAGTGATCCACACGATGAATTTAAGGGGAAAAATGTGCTCATTGAATTAACTGATACTTCAGCACTGGCAAAAAAATATGGCCTGCCTCTTGAAAAATATCTTGATATTCTGGGTGAGTGCAGGCAAAAGCTTTTTGATGCAAGATCCAGAGGACCAAGGCCACATTTAGATGATAAGGTTTGTCATTGTCTGTTTAAAAGAAGACATGGATTGTATAGAAATATTATCTTTAGCTTTTCTCTTATATGCACTCTTTAACAGACCAAGTGCTTACTAGGTAATTGTCTCATGGAATGGACTTGCAATTTCATCTCTTGCAAGAGCTTCCAAAATCCTTATGGGCGAAGCAGAGGGCACAAAATACAACTTCCCTGTTGTTGGTTGTGATGTAAGATTTTAACATCTTTGGCTAGTCAGGTTAACTTAGAATTTAACATGCTTGTGGTTTGATCACACCAGTGTGATTCTAACTTTCTAAGCCAAGTTTGATGTAATTATCATGCGTCTTTGTTATTCATTAAGCATTTCCTTATCATCTCTAGATTTTGACCATGGTGTGAGGATAAAAAAAAAGTTTCTTACTCTCATTTATCCTGCTTATGGAAAACTTCTACATGTAATCATATTATTCTGAACATCAATTTTAAACAAAGGCCTGTCTTCTGCAAGGTCTATGCATTTAAAAATCATCATTTTGGTGTATTTTTTGCGTTACTGAGTATTGGATTTCTTGTACATTCTAGGCATCTGTTCTGCTTGGCTCTGTCAGTCTTGATATGTAGCCATAAGTGCTGATCTGTGGAAAATCACTCTAGGGCAGTTGAACTATTCTTGGCATGATATGTGGTGTGTGGTTGACTTTTTTATATGATCATGACTAATAATTTTGCATGTTCCATTGAATTCCAGCCCAAGGAATACATGACTGCTGCGGAGAAGGCAGCGTCTTTCATCAGAAGGCATCTTTATAATGAACAAGCTCGCAGGCTAGAGCACAGCTTTAGGAATGGTCCGTCTAAGGCACCTGGATTTTTAGATGATTATGCATTTCTAATTTCTGGGTTGCTGGATCTTTATGAGGTGGGTGGCGGGATCCATTGGCTAGTGTGGGCAACCGAACTACAGAATAAACAGGTAAAAGAATCAGAGTTCATCTCCCTGACATAAATAGTGAGCCAATTGTTCTCATGTTTTTACGAGTTATTTTTCCAGGATGAATTATTTCTCGACAGAGAGGGGGGAGGCTATTTTAATACCCCAGGAGAAGATCCTTCAGTTCTCCTACGAGTGAAGGAAGACCATGATGGTGCTGAGCCCTCAGGAAATTCAGTTTCGGCAATAAATCTCATAAGATTGGCCTCTATGATGACTGGCAGTAAGTCTGAGTATTACAGGCAGAATGCTGAGCATCTTCTGGTATGCTGTTGCTTCACTTACTAGCGTTTCATGGGGAAGACAAGTGTTTACAACTCGAGTACTCAATGTGTGAGCATAATAAATTCATCCCATGGCGATGCAGGCAGTTTTTGAGTCCAGATTGAAGGACATGGCTATGGCAGTACCTCTGATGTGCTGTGCGGCTGACATGATCTCTTTGCCTTCCCACAAGCAAGTTGTCTTAGTTGGCCACAAATCATCCTTGGAATTCGATAAGATGCTTGCTGCTGCTCATGCATCATATGATCCCAATAGAACAGTAAGTAGGATGGCTTCAATATCAATTCATGAACCCCTTGTCTCCCTTCATTGTACTCTGCCTATGATTCCTCTCTCTCTCTCTCTCTCTCTCTCTCTCTCTCTCAGATGCAATTATTGCCATTTGCAGGTGATTCATATAGATCCTACCGACAATGAAGAAATGGAGATTTGGGAGGACAATAATAGCAATATAGCTCTCATGGCAAGGAATAATTTTGCTGCAGATAAAGTAGTTGCTCTCGTCTGTCAAAATTTCACATGCAGTCCCCCAGTCACGGATCCCAAGTCTCTTAAAGCATTGCTTCTCAAGAAATCTTCCTGAGGTGTAAATCTCGGTCAGTGAAGACTTTCAAAGTGTTAATTGTATGTGATGTATAAGACATACCTTAGTGCTGTAACCAGGTTGGTGAGCTGTGTCACGATCAAATGTTTTTCAACAAAGAAAAAGAAAAAAAGTTTGGGTGCTATAGAAGAAGCAATAGAAATTCAACAGTTGGGTTATTAATTTTATTAGATTTAATAATTTTAGTTAATTTAATAATATTATTAAAAAAATAATAACATATAAATTTAACAAAACAAAATTAAATTGAGTTAACATGTGTTAACTTTTCATGTGATTTCATATACATATGATTTCATATATAAGATTGAGATATTTTTATTGAAAAATAATAATGAAAAAAAAACAATCAATCCAAAATAAAAACAAAAAAAAAAAGTTAATTTGAGTTAATTTTTTAAACTTGTAATTTGGGTTTTTTTATTAAAAAATAAAGAAAGAAATTTTCAATAAAAAATAATTTAAAACAAATCAAATAGAAATAAAAAAGAATTAATAGCTAAATTTAACATAAAATAAGATAAAATATTGAGGGATGAAAAATAAATTCAAATAAAAAATCATTAAAAAATAAAAAATAAAAAAATAAAAAATCAGTCTGATAGATAAAAAATTAATAGAGGATGAAATTGAAATTTTTTTTAATTTTATGAATTATTTAAAACAAAACAAATATAAAAAACAAACATAGACTAAATCTAAAAAAAAAAACAACATGAATGAATGCTTTGAAAATGTAAAGGAACATGAAAACAAAAAGAAAAAAAATTTGTTAGTGTCGAACCAGAGATCCATTGGCAACGTAAGTTGTCAAGAGATGGAGGAACTGTTATAAAAATTCAAACTTTACCATGAAAGTAAATGTTTGGCTACCAAACAATGTTTCACATGCTATCCAAATAGCATAAATGAAGCCATGTGAACAACATGCTATTAATTTTTTCATACTAAATAATATTTTATATCTTTTAAAATATCAAATTGCTCGTGATTCAACTTGATAATAACAAAACAAACCACAATAAATAGACTAAAATTCCCTGGATGAAAGTTAAAGATAACATGAATTCAAAAATAATGTAGTCATTTTACCATCTTATTAATAGAAAAGTGGAAACATCTATAAATAACAGTTTAATATTTTTTTGTTTTAAAGAATATATTAGTTATTTTATTGTGCAAAAGACAATAAAAATATCTTAACATATCAAATTGCTTGTGATTCAACTTGATAATAACAAAACAAACCACAATAAATAGATTAAAATTCCCTATATGAAAGTTAAAGATAACTTGAATTCAAAAATAATGTAATCATTTTACTATGTTATTAATGAAAAAGTGAAAACAATTCATAAATACCAATTTAATATTTTTTGCTTTATATATTAATTATTTTATTGTGAAAAAATAACAAAAATATCTTATTACCCTTATCCCATTGCCAAGGTTTTTTTTCCCCCCCGCTAAGGCAAAATCATAACTTTAGTGTTTCAATCCACAACCAATGAATCTAAACCTACAACAAAAATTTGCTACAGTGAATCATCTATCCTCTGTAGTTTCTTCTATTTGATAAGTTTTGGGTGGTGAACCAATCCAGAACAATTATAAGCACGGTGCATTTGGTATAAGCGGGGCTTGTAGTTGCGATTTTAGTTGTAAAAATATTTGGTAATACAAGCTGTTAAAATGTTTTTATGTTATAAAACTTCATTTTATAGCTTCTATTAGATACTTTATCGGAGTGTTTTATCGTGGGTCAGGAATTTATTTTTTCAACAAAAGATGTTGCATATGCATATATGTTTTTACAGTTAAAAAACTTATGTGGAAATCAAAAGTGTATGTGTGTGTATATAAAATTAAATAAATTAAAAATTATGTAGTAATAAATAAATAAATAAATGATAACAAAAAATAAAATTAGAAAAATTGAGAGACAAATATAAATCAAGATATTTAATCTCGCAAGACGAGCTATTTATCCCATTGCGTTTGCTAAATTTATTTATTAAAATAATTTTTTATTTAATCAAATAATAAAAGAACTAGACACACATATTAAATTGATTGAATAAAATAAAAAAATAATATGCAAAATTGCACATATTAGAAATATTATCCGAAAATAAAAATAAGATTTTTATTCAATCAAATAATAATAGAAACATATACACACATTAAATTGATTGAATAAAATAAAAGAGAAAAAATATTATGCAAGGTTGGACACATTGAAAATATTATTTGAAATTACATATTTTTTTTCAAAAATAAAATTCATTTATACAAAAGATAAAAAAAAATATAGATGAATTAGAAAAATATTTTCAAAAATTAAATGATTAACCAAAAAAATAATTATCATTTAATAGAGACTCTTAAAACAAAACAAAAATAAAGAGTATTAATTTAGATATAAATGAATGAAAAAAAACATATATAAAAGCATAAATTAAAAAAATATAAAAAATAATTAAAAAAAGAAAAAGCCAACTTGCTTGGCCAATTTTGTTAGGACCCGTGCAAATGGACCCATTTTTTTTCTCTTTTCATCTAAGGCGGAAGGCATTTGTCCTAATTTTTTTGAAAAAAAATCAAACGATGTATCATTTATATTGCCTAGTTTATGCCACCATAGTGGCTGAAAAAACAAGATTATGGTTTTTTAGACTCAAAAACCAAACTTTCAACCAATGTTTACCCAAAATATCATCCTAAAACCTAAAATCAAAAAGCTTATCAAAATCAGATTTATTTTTATTAGGAACTTCAAGGTAAAAAAACCTAAAGTGAGCTCCCTTATTCAAAAGGAGCAATTTAACACCAACTTCACGCTATCAGAAAATCTACGAATATAAATGGATTCACCAACGAATTTTTTCTGTTGGTATTTTATGATGATCTTTACCGATTGACTTTTTTCCATTGCTAACTCTATCAGTGTTTATTGACAGAAATATGTCATTGGTATATACCGAAAAAATCTCAATTGAAATAGAAGGAATTAAAAAAATATAGTACGAAGACATGTATGCTTTTATAGACATCGTTACTGATGGAATTATAATTGGATTCAAACAGGAAAACCCGTACTATGAAATATCATTTATATTGACAGAATTGTTGATGGATTGACATACAGAATAATTTTGTCTGTAAATTCATTGATAATATTTAATATATGATTTGGTAGTCTCCCCTCCTCTCTTGTACCCAATTTCTCATTCTTCCTTAAAAAACCTATCTGTAACAAAATAAACATGCCCCCACCTCCCCCCGACTCTTATCTCAACACAAGACAAAATAATTTTGTAAATAAATTTATTGATAATATTTAATGTATGACTTGACCTTCTCCCTTTCACTAGTTCTCCTCGTTCCTTAGAAAACCTCTCTACAACAAAACAAATAGCGCCCCCCCCCCACCCCCATATCCTTCTCATCTCAACATAACTCATCCTTCCGTAACTTTTCTAATCACAACAACATAGCATTTGTGTTCTGATTGAAAATATATTGTGAATTTTCAATTTTAAGTAAGCAATCTATTATTTTTTTAAATTCAAACACAATTTTAAAATATTAATTTTTTATTGCATATTTTTATAGTATATATATTTTGTTTGGGTGTTTACTTGTTTTACTACTTTTTCTTAAACAAATTTGTTGTATGGATTTATGATTTTGTACATGTTATGATTTGTTTTAAATTTTATAAAATTTTATTTGTTTATAAATTGTTGAAACTATATCGAATTATCGACTTAGGTGTGTTGTGATGAAATAAATAATGACTTGTTTAACGAGTCTATTTTAAATTTTGTTAATTTTATTACTGAGTTGTAATTTCCATAATGGTGTATAAATTTATATGTACATAGATAATTAATAATGAATTAAGAGAAATATTAAAGTAGGTTGAATAATCTTGAGCTAAACCAATATTTTTACAAATTTATTTGGTTAACATAGTTAATTATTACATATTGTCATCGTTATTTGATATAAGTTTGATAGAAGGCATGAAAAATCATTTATAGATGTATCAAGATTCGCCCCAAGGATTGTGGAGGATAGATTATTGTAATGGGATTCAGGGTTTTAGTAATTACGCAACATCTAATCCGAGAAATATTAGTAGAGGTGGTATTAGGCATATGTGCAAAATATGCAAAAATAAAAAGTTTCTCGATCTAGATGTTGTAACGATACATCTTCTACATAAAGGGTTTATGAAGGAATAAATATTTCAAAGATTCATTCCCGACAATGAGGTAAGTAGTGTCATTAAACTTTGTCATTCTGAAGCATGTGGAAGTTATTTCTCGTCAAAAAAGACTGCTGCAAAAATCTTTCAAAATGGATTTTATTGGCCCACCATGTTCAAGGACACACATGCATTCTGCAAAACTTGTGAAAATTGTCAAAAAATTGACACTGGTCAAAAAGTTTTGTTTTATGATTCTCAACTCTATGCATTCCCTAAAGAGCTAAGATTAAGATGGACCAATCCTTATGGGGCCTGTGATATTGAGAATTCAATGAATGACAATGATTTTAAGGAAAATGGACATCGTTTGAAAGCTTACTTTGATAATTTTCCTAGTGAAAATGAATCAGCTGGTTTGAATGATCTTGTAGATAAAGGTTGATTATTTTGTTTTTCTCACATTGTTTTTGTGTTTCTTTTTGAGTGATTTTTGCTAGTTTCTCTCACCCCGGTCAAATGGCGGATAACGGTACTCCGTGACTTAAGTCGGTTCTTTCAGTTTCCCACAATAACTGATATTTGTGTATATATTTGTGCAATTCTTTGAATCTCTCTTCTAATTCTCATTTGAAAATGGACACTAATCTTGAAAAATTGAAAAAGTATTTTCCCGCTCTGCCTCAGAATGCGATTACAAAAATTTACCGTGCTAGATGTGCAAGATTGAGATTGTTAATGAATCATGGAATTCCTGAAGATATTCGTTGGTTGATTGAAGCAAAGGTCCGATTATCAGGTGAGTCCTCTAATTTCTTTATTTCACACATGCCTGGAACAGGTAAAAGCACTTTTGCAAAGAAACGTCGTGCAAAACGACTAGAAGTCTGTCATCGATGTGCTAGATGGACTTGTAATACACAATGTCGTTC